GTATAATATTATGTAAGTTACAGGTGTACAATATAGTGTTTGACAATTTTTAAAGGTTATGCTCCATTCATAGTTATATTGACCATATTCTCTGTGTTGTACAATATACCCGTGTAGTTTATTTCATACTTGATAGTTTGTACCTCCTAAATCGCCACCTCTATATTGCCCCTATATTCCCTCTCCCTACTGGTAACCACTAGTTTGTTTTCTGTATCTGTGAATCTGTTTCTCTTTTGCTGTATTCACTAGTTTGTTGTATTTTTTTAGATTCCACATATAAGTGAAATCATACAGTATTTGTCTTTCTCTGTCTGACTTATTTCACTTAGCACAGTGGCCTCTAAGTCCATCCATGTTGTTGCAAAAGGCAAAATTATTTCTTTTTATGGCTGTGTAGTATTCCATTGTGTATATATACTATATCATCTTCATCCATTCATCTGTTGAGGGACACAGGAGTTATTTTTTTAAACTATGTTGGATTGTGAAGTTATGAAATGGCCAAGGTGACTATCGATACCTAGGAAAAGCAAATGAGAATCAGTCACAAAACATGATGAAAAAGTAATCAACATATGAGTTTGCTTAACACAGATGTTCTAAAAAGAGCAGGGAGGAAGAGGGGACTCAAATTTTGAATAAGAGGTGGTGAAGGAAAGCTTCTTGGAGGAAGATCAGTTGTAAACTATAGGCTTTTGAAGGAAGTAGTGTTCTGTCTACATAAATGAAAGGAGCTATGCAGAACCTGCAGGCTTAGGGGCTAGGGAGGGACTCAGCGGTGGAGCAGACCCCTCCTTGACTGGAGCAAGAGGGCTGTGAACGATACAGGCAAGGGGAGAGTTGCTTGAGGATCTGAGGTTTGGGTGCCTTCCTGGGAAGAGCTGAATGATTAGGGGCCTCAAGAAGAATTTTACAAGTGGAGTTCCTCTTTGGGGGCTTTTATATAGCTGCACTAGCCACGAATTCCCTGTCTGTCTGCCTTTTTTTTTTTTTTTTTTTTTTGCCTTTTTTTAAATGGAGGTACTGGGGATTGAACCCAGGGCCTTATGCACACTAAGCACGCACTCTACCAACTGAACTGTACCCTCCCCACTTATCTTCCTTTTTAAAACAAACACTAAGAACCCTTGTAGGGGACTCCAATCCACATCTAGGTTTGCAGAGCCAAGAATCAGTAATAACGGCGGCCTGAGGTCTTTGACCCTGTTACCCTCATGGTTATACTCACATTGACAAAGGTGCATTCCCGAATATCTATATTTAGGAGGGCTGGATATGCAGTGAGGGGTGGAAAAATTGTAGTAACAGTCAACAGCAAGATTTGGATTGAAGTGAAACAGTAACTTTATCTCTAATTATCTCTAATTAGCTCGGGTCAGCATGCTATTTCCTCGCTGGCCGGTTAGTCCCCAGGAGGAAAAGGCTTCCAGGGCTGAGATTAGCCCAGTGGGGAGGGGGGATCCCCTTGAGGAGGGCATCCAGAACGCCCAAGGGAAAGCAGCACTGAGAAAGGGAAGGGGGCGGCTGATTTCCACAGGAGGCTAATGACCTGGAACTCTTCAACAGGGTTCTACTGATTAAAAGCCTCAAGAAAGTGTTGCACATGTGGAATCAAGGCTTCAGTTGTTTTTGTCAAGTTACTAAATATGCTCACATTCTAAGTGGACCTGGGGGTATTATTTCTAACTCCAGTTAAACGCCTTTCCTTTCTTGTTTGCATACATAGTCTATATTTGAGTACAGCGGAGGATTTTTTTAAGTCACAAATGAGATGGCTCTCTTTTTAATGGTGATTTAACAACCACTCAGTAATGATAATTATTGGATTTAGACATCACGTTCATTTCCTTGTAGGGTGGATTGTCAGCTAAAATGATTTAAGTAGTCGTATGATCTTTGTGTTGATGTTCCTTTGCCTGCTACCTTCTCAATTTAGGATTTGTCTGGGGGACATAAAGGCTGACTTCTGTCTCCATTGACTGCCGTATAGATTCAGCTGATCTGAAAGACCTTGGTAGATGTCCTCTGTCTCTCTTTGTTTTCTTTATAATTCTTCAATTTAACGAAGGATATGAGATGCCCTCTTAGTACATTCTTCCATCTAGGAATGTGAGTGTAATTTTGGGCAGCTCATTCAGGGGAGGTTCGAGTTGCAAACCCCCAAAATGAGAATCTCTAATGCTCCAGTGTCCCAGGTTAACTTCGCAAGGTTTAAGGCATGGAGTCTGATCCATTTGTCCACCACAGAATGATTCTCATCACCTGAGAGCTTCCTTAACACCCCGTCATCACTGGAAACAAGATGAGTTTTGTCTGCTTTAGAAAATTAATTCATCAATCTACCAAATTATTTGGGTTTGCCAGCTCTCTACAAGGCTGTGGGCATTCATTCAACCAACACATATTAAGTGACTAGTTAGGGAGACAGATGGCAAGTGTTATAGACAGGGAACTGAGCATCCAGTGGGGGAAGAGTCATACCCCAAATAATTCATTCCAGTGGATAAGCACAGGTTGTGCATATATGCATGTGTATGTGTGTGTGTACATATGTTTATATGGGTATACATATATGTTTTTATTCATTTATATGAATCATACTTTGTATAAATCATACTTTAACATATATTAAAGTATTAATGCATAATATTAAGGTATAATTATATGTATATTAAAGTATGATACTGAGTGTGTAAATGCAGTTCTTGCCCTCATAGAGCTTACAGTCAGTCTAGTAGGAGAGTCAGTCATATAATCTAGGAATTATAATGCCAGTTGATAGGTGCTCTGCCAAAGAGAAAAAAAGCACAGATAACAGCTGAGATCATGTTAGGGGAGGGGTCAGGGAAAGCCTAGGTAGTTTTAAATGGCTCTGTGACAAAAACTGACTGTACTGAGGACTTTATTTTTGCCCTTCGTGGAACATTTTCATCGGTATTAGTAGTCAGAATTGGCTACAATGCCTGTTTTTACTTCATAAAAGGTATAGGGAGGCGGAATGTTTCGAAACTTCATAGCCACATTTTCAGCGGCAAAACTCCCAAATCCTTGTAAAACAGATTAGAAGTATATTTGCTTCGAGTGAAGCGCTCAATTTGTGAACTTTTAATCTTCACAATATCCATAAAAGGGTAAGTTGCAAGAAAATTAACAGTATGATTAATCAGACTTGGTATATATAAGCAGAGTTGGTTACCAAGAATAGCTATGCTAATTGCAAATCATTTTTATCTGTTCATTAAAGCAAGCCCCTAAGGACTTCAGTTTGCCAATACTTTTTCATTTTAGTTCCTGAACTATATCTAAATGCAAATGTTTGTATTTTTTTCATTCTATGATTTAGATTTTTTTTATGAGTTCATCCCGGTCGTCTCCCAAAGAGCCATAGTTAGAAATCTCTCTTACTGTACTATGTTGAAGACTTGAGTTTCTTGGAATAAATCAGTGAAAGATGAGCAGTCCTTCATTGTGTAATACCAAGGAGCCGCACAAACACTTCATTTTGCTCTATAATTTTGGGTTTTTATATGTAGTAGCAATTCTCCAAAAAGGCTTTAAAGGCAGCCACCATTATTTCCCTGTTCATTTGTACTAGCTGACTTTGCTAGACGCCTTCTTTAAAATTCCACGTATTTAAAGATGTGTATCAAATGCTGAACCACAGAGAATTGCTATTATTCTTTGTGATCACACTCATACAGTTTACTATGACAAGGTAAATATCAGAATGTCTTTGTTCCTCCATTAACTTTACTACCTGCTTTATAATCTCTTGCTTCCAGGTAGACCTCACCTCCACTCACTGAATAATAGGTGCGTTTGTTTTTACCTAGATCTGTCCCCTGAGCCCTGTGTGTCCTTCCTTTTTCAGACAGCTGAATATGCTCCCACTCTCGGCTTCAAATTAATAACACGAAATGATTTTTCTTTCTAACTAGTTTCAGGGTAGACGTGGGAAGAAATAGACTCTGCTTGGATTTTACAGTCTGAGAAAATAAGTATGCCCAATCCCTAGGAGAGTAACTAATCTTCTCCTGAAAACAAAAGGAAAGGGGAAAAATCTGACCTGTGTTTTGATTCCAGGAACCTCTCAAAATATCGTTACCATGTTATTTCCGCTGCCCCAGGTGACCACTGCTATTATTGCACACTCAGAATGCTGGCAGGCTGAATCTGTTTTTCAATTCTAGCTCATTGAACTGTGTGTGGTTCCTATGAATGTTTTTATTTAGTAGATTTGCGAGTAGAAACTAATTTCTTTTGTTTTTCTTGGAAATGTGCAGATTTATTTTTGTTTCTCCACCGAAGTAGAAGCTGTGAAATCTGCTAA